AACAGAAGCTGCAGGAAGGGATCGACATGACTTAATTTAAGGAATTAAATTCTCAGGTGAAGTATACCAATATCTCCTGATGTCAATGGACCTTTCCTTCTTGTACCTTAGCCTTAGGTCTAAACAGGATTTAAATCCTGGATAGCAGAAAAGGGCATTGTCTCAGTGTCCAAACATAGGTGCACTTGCATTTCAGATGCGAGCAAGCATCCAAGGTATCCACAGGAGTCTGGAACACAGAACACTGAACAAAAACCATAAGCAACCCACAGTGCTTGGAGGAGGAAGCTGGAGGACTGGATATCTAAAAGAGGGATAAGCATGTGCATCACTCTTCAGGTAACTGCTCTAATTCTGCTGCACTGATAACAGGCTAAAAGCAGGTTTCTGAATCATACAAGTTCGTAACCTATTTTAAGGGAAACTGAAATAAGTGCAATATATGAATTATAATTTCCCAGAGTTCAAGAACAGCTTAACAAGTAGTAAGAAGGAAGGTGCAGGTAAAATCTGGTTAGAGAGCAAGGATGGGTACATCTGTTGTCCATAAAAATATATTCTGTGGGACAATGCACTTTTGCTCAGTTTCAAAGCACCTTTAGCACGAGCATCACTTTAGAGGTATTAGGCATAGCTTTATAAAACTGAAGTGGGCACAAAAGCCTAAGGGAAGTAATTAAATCATAAAATGGGAACAAAATTAGGAAAAAAATGAAGTTCCTTTACAACACTTATTTATCCCCCAAACAGAGGGAAAATATACCACTGAGCAAAACCAAAACAAAATCAGCACGTGGATGGGCCAAATGATTCCCCCTGGTTACAGTTTGGTGACAAAATAATATACCAGCACTAAACAAGCGGTAAAGCCTAATGCAATACAGTATAAAAATCATCTGCAACGCGGCTGAGGGTCTCAGGTTGATTGTTGGCCCAAGGATCCCAGTAACAACCTAGTCTCTAGCTGATCAGTGCTGCAGTCAGGGAAGCAGGACTCTGTAACTAAAAGCAGAAGGGAAAGCCCTCTATGACTCCTGTGATTTTTTTTTTTCCTCCTATATTGAGTTGACTTTAAATTTTGCCCATGTGCTCAGGTTTATTGCTGTGTAGGGGTAAAAAGATCCCCCTTCAGAGATATAAAGTCTCATTTTATTAAGAACAATGACAAAAGATATAAGTTCCTACTTCTAAAATGGATTCAAAATGGGCCTAGGAGGAGGTAGGGAATGAGGGAAGGGGAAAAAAAAGAAAGAAAACAAGACAGTTGTGGCTTGACAGTTGACATATGATAGTTGAAGGTATTTAATAAAACACATTTGATTGAAGAATGAAGATTGAAGAATTTTTTTTTGATTGAAGAATTTTTCTCCTCTTGATTAAAGTAGGAAACATTCAAGGATAAGTTATAAACAGTTTATACAACAGTTACAAAAAACAGAGATTCATAAGTTATTCTACTGATTATTAAGCATTTTGACAGGAAGTTTACAATACAAAACATGCTTTCTCCTTCTTAAATGGCACTACTTTGTTAGAGTACTGAGAGAGGATCCAGGTTGCCTTTTCAGCAGTTATACCGTATCTTTTCTTGGGGTTAACTCTTTTTATACAAATATTACTTAAGATGAAGGTTTAAAAGTATTTAAATTACACAACTGATATATTCCTTTGATTTTGCTTTGTGTGGGAAGACAGTTTTGCCACCTTCTGTTATAGTAAGCCTTGACTGTCACCTTCCTAGGCAACTGAATAATCTTACAGACCTTGTGAGACAAATTTCTCTAGGTCTTGGCTTTCACACCAAATGTGGACAGACTAAACTGATAAAGCAATTGTTTCTTAATCTCTTTCACGGCATAGAATTAGTTCCTCTCAATGCAAAAGTAAATATAGCATCTTTTGTGTCTGATGATTAAGTACCTGTAGGTTTAACAGTTCTTCCCAGCACAGCAGAGGAGGGATTTAGTATGAGTATTGAACAAGAGAGAAGTTTACGCAGGCTGAAGAGATTTGTTTCGGTAAGCAAGTATTTCTGTATACTATGCAAGAGATTATACTTAGTGCCATTTATTTTCAGCAAACTTTGAACATGAGTAAGCAATAGGAATCTATCCCACAGGTTTTTATACTCTCTTCTTTTTCAGACTAGAGCTGCTCTTTATCAGAATGAAATTAGAATGGCATGTCAGGCAAATGGAAGAATATAACAACTTTTTCTGGTTCTTTCCCAATTCTGTTTTGGATTTGGGATATGGTTTTTTTGTTTGTTTTTTGTTTGTTTCTGAGTAACCTAAACATCATTGTTAGATCTTTGAAATGTTAATCTTTGTCTATAGATATATGCAAAATATGCAATATTTCAAACATTAAGACTAAAGAAGATGTTAATGACAAAACACAGCTCACTGCATGGCTTCCTATACTTTAAGGAAATTTTGTTCTCCTCCAAAATATAAAAAAGGAAAAATATACTTTGAGCATTTTACTCAAGGGAGGGAAGGGAAAAAGAGATGACATACAAAGACCCCTCATTGATTTAGAGCATCACTTTTTACTCATCAATAACTTATAATTAACATATTATATACATATAAATAATAATACTAAGAGTTATGCAGCAGTATACGTCCTCAATATGTGCCCTTAGCACTGATCAGAGAGGCCTGTTGAAGTTCTCCAGTTCTCAAAAAATGCTTAACATTGCCAAGTGCTATCTAGAAAGCAACTTGCTGTTTCTTCATTTACAAATCTTTCCAAAACATTCAATGCTCTAAATGATTTCTTTCCCAAGCAGAACAACTTCCTTCTGCTTGTCATACAGAAAGGGTCATAATTGTATTCACTGTATTTCCTTGCTGGAGAAGTTGGTGCCACCAGCTTGGTTATACCCAGGTATGAAACATAATAAAGTGTGAAATGTTACCGTATTGCTATTGTTTAGGAAGTAACTCAAACAGGAAACTGTGCTGATTTGACAAATTAAAATGCATTTGTTATAATAATTAAATCACAATTCAAATAAAGCTATTGGAAATCAAAGCTGTCCCAAATAAAAAGTAAATCAAGAGCAGCGCAGTCCCTTATTACACTGGTCACTTAAAGTTTAAGTGAACAGGTGAGTTACTGTGCTATTGTCTCCATTAAATAGTTGACCTATGCTATGAAACATTACTTTTTCAAAAGTGACCTTCTTAAACAGTTACAGTGCCCATAAGTTATGAAACTGTCACACTTAAGAATATAAGCGATGAGTGCAAAATTTTTTTAGCAGCTTGCTGAACACCACGGCATTCTCCTCCTAGGTGTAAAAGATATCCACAATGTAAGCTTATGTGGTTAATGGTAATTTAACATGAAAGATAGAGAGACTCAGGAAAAACAGTCAATTGAACTCACAGACAGAGAAACTTCAACAAATAAGAGTTCTGGCCTCTTTGATCTGTTAAGTCACGTGCCAAGGAGCCACTAAAGGAGCCACTCGAGCGAAACCTTCAAAAGGTTAAATCAGAACTTTGTAGTCGATAAGAAGGAAAAACAAGATCACCATGGATTGCAAAAGGGAAAAGGCAAATATCACGAAATAAGGGCATGTGTAGGAATGTGTAAAATTTGTTAGAGAAATGCTTTAAGGAGGGTGTTGTGCTGCGTGAAACTTAGGGCATGTCAAACTTCTTATGGGAATGGTCAAAGGCAGGCAAAGGCGGTTCAGGGAGGAACAAGCATCGGGAATGAAGAAGAGTGCCACATGTAAGCTGGCTGCCTGACAGTATGATTCTCTATCTGAACACTGAATCTTTAGTCAGTCCTATTATCATATTGAGCCTTAGTCCTATTTATTTTCTGTTTAAGCCGGCTTTCTTTGGAATGCATGTGAGAGATCTACAAGGCAAATGAATCTGGATCAGTGAATAGGAGAAGATCATGCTCTGGCAAGACCCAAGGCTAGAGCTGACAACAGGGTGAGACAGGATCAGTGCTGGGCATGGACTTGGGGGACCTGCATATGCCAGTATATTTGCAAATCCAGAGTCAAGATTTGCACACGATTTCCGTCAGTGAAATTCAAGCCTGATGAACTGGAGAGAAGAAACAGGATTTGGCCACCTGGGCCGTTAATGTTCTGTGAAGGCACTCTGTGTTTATGTGGGCATTGTGTGTGTATTACATGGCTAAAGACATTTTTTGCTCTTGGTATTAATCTGTGTAGCTGTCATGTTTGCATCATGCATGTTTTTATTTGCATCTTTGAAAAATATGTTCAGCCACACTGGAAGTGAGGAGCAGCACCTTTCTTGGAACCCCATCAACAGATTCGTATGTCTTTCAAAAGCAGGACGCAGAACTATTCACCATTTTAAGAGAAAAACAAAGTTTGTTGCTTCCCAACCAAGCCACTGAAACATTTAGCACATTAAATAAATGTCACTTCCCACAGCACATCAGAGAATATAAAGTAAACAATATTAATCATTATTTGGCATTAGCAACTTGTTTGACACATGCCATATCTGTACTACCCAACTACCTGTGCCCAGACGAGTCCCTAGGTACACAGCTCGGAACAGACCCCACAGACACTACTAAGTTCCTTACTCTCTCTAAGAGGATGTCAGCCTGCTGTAAGTGGCCTCTGCTCTGCATTAACTGCTGACCCATCTCTAGAAACTATTCAATTTCTAGAGTCAAACTCTGAAGTTCAGTTTCAAGAGTTAGTTGGCCTGGGTCAACACCATTTCTTCATCTCACCTATTTTACAAACCCATATACACTTACAAAATACAAATGTGTGTACATACGTACATATAAGTAACCACAGGTGAAAAGAGGAATAACAAAAAATATAAATACTATTTATTCAGTCTTGAATTTAAGTACTTACAAACTGAGTGAATCTAACTCTACAAATGCCACACTATTTGCAAGCAGTCACTGTGCAGTTTTAATAGGTCTGGTAAGAAATAGTTATCACTAAAACACTTCAAAACATACTTGGTACTTACTTTGCATAGTCAAAAAGTCTACTGTCCCAGAGCTGATGAGTTCCTCTTGGACCAGAATGGAAGAAACAAGAATCTGTACCATCAAATTTATTGAGACCATCTTCAGAGTTTTTTGATGCATGGCTGTGCACAACATCCAGCAGAACAATGATGCCCATAGAGTGGGCAACATCGATCAGCTCCTTCAGATCATCTGGGGTTCCATAACGGCTGCCAGAGTGAAAATGAATCATATTGAGTAGCACAATCTGAACACTGATTAACAATCAATACATTAATTGTGTTATTGTAACCATATAGTGTATACAAAGGTTATTTTTTTCCTCACCCCTTAAGTAGTAGTTATTTGTTACAAGAATAAAAAAAACAACCAAGAAAGCCAATTTTACTCTTCCTTTCTGGTCAGCTGAGGGAAACTAAAACACCTAATGCAATTTAAAACATTTATCTGATGCTTTCCTGCTTATTTGTTTTAGGAACTATATTATTTTCAAGTCTCTTTTAAATAGGAATTTGTCTCTAGTCTGAAGCACCTATTTCCCTCAACTACTTAAGCCAGTCAAACTTTCTGTCCATTTAAATTTGTCCTTTTTTCATTCTAGCTTCAATGCAATAAAACAAACAAAAAAACCACAACATTCAGGTTTGCCATAACTTTCTCAGCAATTACCTTAATTCACTTTCCATCTAATTTTACTCCAACGCTCAAATTAAATGCAAGCTGCTTTACACATGGGGAAGAAATATTTCCCACAGAACAAACAAGTCATGATTTTATTTCAAAGAAGTCTATTAAGGACAAGCAACATAAAAGTTCTCTGTATTACTATCATGAATTCCACAGCACCAAAATCCATGCATAAACAAAGCCAAAGACGGACAAGTTGACATACAGTATGACTGATGTTACTTGTAAACTTGCTGGTACCATATATCAAACATTTTCACAGAACAGCTGCTAATTATGTCAAAATGATTTCAGATTTACTGAGTGTTACAGTACTACCTAAGCCAGTGCTTTCTCTTTCCATTAAACACTTGAAGTTTAAACATCTTCAGTGGATGGTGGGTGATGCAAAAGAAGACAAAACGAGTAAGAGCATCTAAACCTACCTGGATGCAGCAAAGAAGCTTGTGACCTGATAACCAAAACTGGCATAGTATGCATGCTCCATAATAGCCATCAGCTGAACACAGTTATATCCTATGTAAAAATAAAAATAAAATAAACACACAAAAATATATAGCCCTGCCTTAAGGATAGTTAAGCCCCTCTCAAAAAATAGTTCTATCTTAATATAGTCCTATAGATTTTCAGTAAAAACAGGAAGGTCAACTTGTCAAGTGATCGACATATAATTAACTGCATTGAATTGAAGCTCTCAGTTCTAACATGCAGCAAATGATATGCAAATATAATCTTAATTTGACTTCAGAATATTAACTATGCCAATCTGCATGTCCTGAACTTCAGCTTCATTTTTGATATTTGTAGTGTTGAAAATAAAGGCAAAAAACTTAAAAGAAAAGAAAACAAACAACACAGTTCTCCAAAACAGAAAGAGACTGATTATATGTATTATAACATATGGCTTAAGAAATTTAATTTGTTCAATTATTTTCAGTTTACTGAAGAACCAAGGCAGCAAAGCAGGATAGGATAGGAGACTTTTTGTGTCTTGTATGACTCAAAATACTTTGGTGCAATATTAAGGTAGGGAAATCTAAAGGGAAAACATACTAATGATGAAACCAGACCATTTAACCACACAACTAAGCTTTCTTTAATGCCAGGGAATAAACGCCCCAGCTAACTAGCAAAAAAAGGATTATAAGCAAAAGGTAAACTTAAGGTTCAACCTACAGCCTGTTAAAACACCCTCCACATATCACTTCTCTTTATTTTCTTAACCCATATCTTCATATTACTCTGCAGTATAAACGTTTTACTGTTTCTTTTTAATTGTATGGCCACAAATGTGTTATTATTTGAAGGCAGTTGGCATGAACTCAACAATTTGTCAGATTCATTGCTGCTTCATAACTCAGGCTCATTGAGCTTAGTTTTATTTACAGCCTTTTTGAAATAAACAATATAAATAGCATCAAATTAATCTCATTCTATTTGTTAGCTGTTTATGTTGCTACTTGGTACATATTTCTACAAACTATTAATAACTTAGCATTCTTAAATATCGAACTCTTTAGGCTTGTCCTCATATTAAGACATTTCAAAACTAAAAGAATCAAGTGGCCTTTAAGAAAACACATAAAATCATGAAAAAAATTTAACTCCCAGAGTTTTATTAAGAATATTATATGTTCTCTATGTCTAAACTAATTCCATATTGCTTTTACTTTTTGGCACTTTTCTTCCCCAAAGAAAAAAATCTGTGGATAAAGCAGAAAGGTTTCTTAATCCTGTTAAACATGGCCTCCTGGAAAGACTGAAAGTAGGAAGAGACACAACTATAAAATGTGATGTCCCTTTGTTGTTGTTGAAGGCTTCCAAATGTGCAAACTCATTCTTTCTGCCTGCCAGCTCAGCTTTACTGAAAAGGAAAAGCCATGCTCTGTGGAACATAGACAAGTTCATACAAACATATTAACTCCTTCTTCAGGCATCCTGGTGAATGAAGGCAAACAGTAGGTGTACATAGACAGTATACTAGAGGTGTCTCAAGTATTTTACATTTAAGGGCAACAAAATATACTTCATCACAAAGCAGAAAGAGCTAGCAAGCACTGGCATCATGTTACAGAAACAAGTGCAATGATACTGCAGAAAAAAATAACCATTAAACAGAAATTGAAACAAACAGTTTGCTATGTTTCTTGAGATAATCATGCCAGCTGTTTCACACAGCCCCCCTCAACCTACCAGAAGTTCTTTAGTAAAACAGAATTGCTCATGCTTAAAGTTCACCACATTCTGATATGTACAGTAATTGTTATGGGATAATTTAGTACATCCAGTAAGCAAAAAGGGCAGTCATTTCTATCATGATATTCGTCTTCTCTTAACAGCCAGATGTACATTAGTGGAAACAATTAAGAACACATTATTTTCCTATGACTATCACCCAAATAATGCTCCTTTTTTTCCAAGAGAAAAACAAGCCATGCTGAAAGCAATTTGCCCTACAATACTCATCCAGGCTTTGGAATAACACTGTAATCAGGAAAAAAAATCTGCAGAATCAAATTTGACTCCTACATTCTACTTGAGTCCATTTTTCTCTTTCATAGATTTCATTGTTTATAGCTTTTGCCGCCCTAAAATAAACAAACAAATAAGGTATTTCTATAATACACAGTCTGAAAACACAAACACAGAGCTGCAGGCACATGATAATTATCTTTATCTAATAGTAACAGAGATGCACTAAAATTTTATCTCTGAAGCAATCTTTGTCATTACTTACCAAGATCCTTTATTCTAGGTAGCACATTGTATGTGAAGTTTTTATAAGAAGCTATTTTCCCTTCTGGAGAAGCAATCCCCACATGAGATTCATAGATTCTCAGGCTTTTCAATCTCCTGGGGGAACGGTGTCTGCGCTATAATAAAGCGGTTGTTATTAGAACACAATAGGAGTGTTGTCATTATCACACAGTTCGCACAAATAAAGAGGAATATCAAAACGATGCATCTCCCCTCTCTTTATTTTTCTTTCTTCCAAAAAATGAAATGTTGCAGAAATAACTAGGCAGTGAATACTGTTAAAGCAAAGATGTATTTTATATTCGTCTGTGTTCATCGTGAAGAAGAAATTGGACATTCTTGATTTGACATTTTTTTGTGGCCCAGTTAAGTACACTGACGTGTAAATTTATGACAGCCAGTGTAGTACAGTGCTTTAAGACTACTGTGAAGTTTGTTTAAAAAAATATTTTTAGAAAGCTTAAATATTAATTTTTTATTTAAAAATATTTAAGACTACAGAGAATTGAACTTGATGACAAAAGTCTCCTTAAAAGTCTCCTTCTTTAAAAAAAATAGAGCATTTACAGCTTATCTGGATTTTCTTTATTAAAGGAAAGTCTTTTCTCAAGAAACTAGCAAAATTTGCCATTTTCTCCAACAGTCTTTTTGACAGCTCCCTCTTCTCAGTTAAAAAAAATAATTAAAAAAACCCTTATTTTCCATTTGCTAATTTATTTTTAAGCAAGGTTTTGGAAAGTTAGAATAGAAATAGTACTAATAACAATAACAACAATAACAACAATAACAACTTGATTTAAAGGATCCTAAAGGCAGGTCCTAAAGATTATAATTCACACCAGTGGCTGCAGCATTTCTGATATAGACTGCATTTTTGTGTTTTCACAAAAATGTATGAAGTCCAAATGTGTGAAGAAATGTATGAAGTCCAAGAACATTAGACTGCCATTCTGAAGTCCCCCTATCCAGACTGTTCTTATATATACAACAGGAATTTGTTCCCTTCTAGAAATAAAAAAAGAGGGCTTTTAAAATTCCTAAAAATATTTTCCTGATACAAAGAAACTAGTATTATACTGGAGGCTGAGAAGGTTCTTTATAGGGACTTTCTGCTTCCATATGGCATTGACTTACTACTCAAGTATTAAGCTTTGTATTTGCAACTAACTCATTTTTACATCCAGCTCTGACAAACAGTTCTCTCTTTCGGACAGTCACTTTCACCAAAAAGGAACAGTTATTGAGCTGACTTGAGATATGAGAAGTTAGCACTGTAATAATTATCTGTTTAATACTCCACCATATAAGACTGAAAAAAATAACTCTAAAATACCTATTATCACATTGCATAACACCTAACATCAGATGTTTCTGTCAATACCTTTAACACACATTCTTCATTTCCCAGGTAGTTATTCCACTGGACTCCTCTTTTTTTGTGAAATGCTTTCATCTTTTTTTCCAAGCAGCGATATCTCATTCTAAATAGCATGAAGTGATACAGCATACACACCATTACACAGCTATCAAAAATGTTTAAGCCTTACTATATATGGCAGTGGTGGATTCCAGTGTACCCAATCATAATTCACTTTTTCTTCATAACGGACTACATATCTTGCCCAAGGTGAAATACGGTAGAGGAGTTCACCGTTTTGAGCACGGATCACCACCTGTAAAATAAGTGTAATACATCCAGGCAGTCACATCTAATTCATATAACGCACTGCATAAACCACAGAGAATGAAATAGTGTGTCACACAGAAATCTAAGTAAGCATACAAATACAGAACACAAGTCAGGACAAGAAAGAATGACCCTGATCACAGAGCAGATTTGTCAAGTAATCACAAACAGATCTATCAGACATAGGAGTGATACTCAATAGATGGAGCTGAAAGGTGAGGATACATAATGTTAGCTTTATAAAAATAAGGTTAAGAAAGGCTTCTCAAATGGAATACTTCTATCTTCTCATTTCCTCGGTCACTGCCATTTCCTCTCCATTCTTAAGGTTTAACAGACATAGAGTAATGCTATCAAGATGAGAACAGCGATTTGTTTACTTAAGCAATCTACTACGTCCATTTTAACATCTTAATTTCTCCTACAGTGCTCAGCAAGTTATGGTTCATATAGTATAGACCAGAATCACAAATTAAGTCAAGTACAAAACAGCTTCCAGTCTGAGAAGTAATCAAAGAATAAAAGCAAAATTGTTGTTTTTCTTCTGCTGACTTGCAGTTTCTCTGAATGCCTCTATTATTCTAATGACAAAATAATGGAAAGTCTTATCAACTATTATGCTTTCCCTATTTGCTGCCCTCTGTTTAACAGGGTAGATGAAAAAATAAATAATCATTCTTTCTGATTCTGAAACAATTACTAGGGTAATTTTGGTAATCTAGTTTTGCTAGGGATTGGGGGTTGGACTAGATGACCTCTAAGGTCCTTTCCAACCTTAAGCATTCTATGATTCTATGATTTTGGCTTCTAAAACACAAAGCTAAGACAGTAAAACAGAAAGTTTGTAAATTTCTAATACTAAAAATGTATAAGCAATTGAAGTTTTCCTCATCTTGGAGGGCTGAGGGAAGGCAGCATTTCCAAGAATGAGAGCTACCAATATAGTACCATATAGTAAGGAGAAATCCCAAATGTAATTGTTTTTTTGTATTCTTAATTCCTGACTTTGCCTGACAGCCTATGTGGAAGGAAACAGTTACTAATTGCCTTTTTTTATTTTTTTTTATTTATTTATTTTTTAAACCTGTAGCAGGTGTCTCTGACAATTTTGATGAATTCCCTGTATCCTTAGTTAAAGCACAGGAGAAAATGCAATGAAAAATATGCATGCAATGTAGGCTTGCGACAGTGGTAAAGCAACCAGAAGTCAATTAAATGAAATTCCTATGTCCAATTTGTATTACTAATGGCTCTGGCATGTTCAGCTTCACTGACAATTGAAGATGAGAAAGACTAACCAACACCTTACTAAGAAAGCACTAAGAAGTAGTTATTGCAATCATTGGCAGAAGTTTTTTGCATGCAAACAATGATAGCAAAACTGGCCATAAGGGTCTTGTAACATTGAAACAATTTGCAGAAAGACCTTTCCATTTAAGAGCTTTAACACAACTTGCAAGCTAATCAAGTCAACCAAAACTGTTTTCTGGTATCACACTTCTGATGGTGCTATTACTTGCTTTATTAATTTGTTGCAATTTACATAATAGAAATAATCACTGCTTTTAATAATCATATCTAGCTGTTTATCTCAGCATTCTTTTCTCCAGTATCTAGTACAGTTTATATTACACAGGCTTCTTAACAGTGGTATTTGTAAAAATTTTACATAGCTTGTACTTTGTAAAATTGTATGTAAAATTGTTTTAAAAAATTGTCTATTACTATAAAAGCCTAGATATAGAAACACTGTTTGATAAGACTTAATTTTGGTTTAACCTGAGGTTAAATAGAGGAGGTTAAACAAAATATTTGTTGTAAAATACTGAAACTAGTCATTCAGACTGTTTAATTTAATCCACTAAATAATGAAAATAGCTATGGTTGAATCTCACCATATTACTATTGGTATAAACGCTACCATACCCCTGGTTTTGCCATCATTTTTAATCATCATAATGAGCTTTGCACTGTAGTATAGTCAAGAAAAATGCACAACCTTTAAAATATTAACTGGACCAGCAGATGTGTATAGCAGTTGCAAAAATACATCACCAGACCTGTCAGCTATCACAGATAAGGGATCATGATTACACTCAAGTCAATGAGATTGAATCCTGTTCTTCACTGGTTTACTAGAGTAAAACCAACACAGCATCCACAGATATGTTAGAGTAGTGGACTTGTGTACCAAAAATAGTAAAAAGATGTAAGTTATGCTAAATAAGTATGCTAAAACCAGGTGCATAGATGCAGTTCAAAAAGGATCCTAATTTTAAAGTCCTGCCAAATCAGGACTTAAACCTCACAAGAACAATAGTATCAGAATATGTCCCTCCTGTGGGCCCACAGAGGTTTGGCAAATTTATTGAATACATATGATAAAACTAAATATAGTCTGCTTCTAGGTCTGTTTTGATAACATTTAACACTTTGACAGAAGCCGTTTCTTAGATTGTCTTATTAGAGTCTTATTAGAGTCTGAGTGTTTATTAGAGTCTGAGTGTAGACTAGTGCTATACAGCAAAGACTGTAATGTAATACACTGGAGTAATTCAGAAGCTGAAATGAGTTTCATTTAATTTAATGACACTTCTGAGGCAGGACCACAGAGATTCAGTTGCCTTAACTTTACAAACATTTTGAAGATCCTTACACACTCCATTTAGTTGCCTTTAAAAAATTGCACGAGTCTTCTGTACAGTTTGCAGCGCATCTGCCAGCTTCTTATAGATGTCTCAGAGCATCTAAAATGCCACTAGATACCGACATTCAGGGAACATATAACCTACTGTGACTTAGTGGAACGCACTGGCATTTTTATGAACATTAAACCACGTGAAAACAAAAGAGCTGAAAGTTTTGCAATTCTAATACTTGAACATTTGCTCACAAGAAGGATTTAGACAAAACACAAACCCATCTGCAAAATAAAGCCCAAAACAATTTTGTTATTGTTATGACAGGGAAAATTGTGCCATAATCGGCAAGAAAATAGTGTACGTTTAGACGCTTTACTATTAAAGCAATACTGCTATTTAACAAATAAGACATAATCACATCATAGAAAAAGATTAAATATAGAAACCTTAAGAAAAACAAGCTTTGATTTTAGTTTCCCTCTTTTATCCATTTTACTAAAGGTTCCTCAGGTCCCTTGAAGTCACTGATAAGGTTTTAACCTGTCACATTCATGTATGTTCAAAAATATTTAATGTCTTTGTGCATTAAGGTCTGCAGGAATTTTGGCAAAAAAATTAAAAATCATCTGATATTTTGCAGTTCAAGATATTTGCTATATAGTTATTTGTCATATAAAAAAGTTGAAGAGAAGAAGGGAGGATGCAAATGACTTGGAGATATACATGGCCAATAAGCTGTTTTACATTAATAGCTTAAAAAAAATGGATTGTTTGTTTGTTTTGGAATATGTAGCTTTTTATACAAAATTAAATTGGCTATCAGACTAAAAACAGTTAACATGATAGAGTGGACTAGCTTTAATACACAAATGTCATTGACTTATTTATTGCCTAAGTGTAAATACATCATCATTTCTATATTTTCCATTTACTATATTAGCTTCATATTCATTACATATTTACAAGACAAGTTCACCTGAATAAAAAAGCCATGACAACTCAGGCATAAACACTACCTTAACTTGGCAACATACACTTGGCTTGAACATAAGTTCAACCAAAAAACTATGTATGCCAGAATAAGGTTTTTCAATTAATATTGTCTGGCAAGTTCAGTTGGCTTATTGCAGCCTAATCTCTCTTTTTTTTTTTTTAATTATTATTATTATTAAAGTTCAAGATACTTCCTTCTAATGATACTTCCTAACTTCTATCTTACTTCTAATGGTGATGGCTAAAATATTGCCTTCCACAATTTGATACCTGTATGTTTCAGTCACTCTCACTCATTGTCCCTTTCTTTTCTCTCATATCTTTAGCATATGCCAAAAATATTTCAATCTCTCATTTTTCATTAAGCAACTCAGCCTGAAAAGCAAAGACAAACTGAAACTAAACATAATACAGAAAAGCTTTAAAGGGAAAACTGTAGTAAAAAGTTAAGTATCATGAGAGCTCTTCTTGCAAACTGCTTGAGCCTCCACAAAGCTGCTCTGCTCTGGCATTTTTAGTTTTTAGAATCAGGCCAGTAAGCAGTTTTTAGAATAAAATCAGTAATAAAAGTTTGAGGTTTATAGATATAAGAAGGGAGCCTATTTTGTTAGTTGGAGATACAGACAGGATGGAGTAAGCAAGTAGAGCATCTCCACTACTGTCTTACAACTCTTGCTACTGCAACATGACCAGCCCCCAAGCTCAAGGGAGGCAGGAAGAAGGGAAGGAATCAGAAATCATTCAACACTTCAGCTCGACATGGCAAAGAACCAAACAATATTGCAAGGTCACTCCATCCTCAGGGAGGAAAACAGCCAGCCTACTAGCAGCAAAGCAGTGACTGATGAACCACTGAAATATTCTCCTAATCAGAAGTACCAATACCAAATGGATAAACGTTGAAAACAGCAGGAGAGCAGGCAAAAAAAAAAAAAAAAAAAAAAAAAAAAAAAAAAGGGGGGGGGGGGGGGAGCTGGGAGAGAGTTCCCTCCTTTCCCCATCATCTCTGGATTACTGTAAAAATGTCAGTCGAGGTGAAGCTATTCTTTATTTTCTCTCCCAAGAAACCTCTAAGCAAAGAAATCTGCTGGACACATGCTTTTACACCAGGTATCTTCTAAAAATTACTCATTAGTTATTGGAAACACAGTAACATTTTGAAGATGGTTACGTGTTTAACAACAAAGTTATGGGTGGTTCAGAAGCCATTCAGTAGGAATGTATTTGTTGTGCTGATTATTTTTATATAAATATATTGTCATTTGAGCTAATTAGGGATTCTTAGATATTTCTTCAAACGGAATTTCTTATCCATCAGGCTTTATGAAAAGGAAAAACAAACAAACAAAAA